TTTTTTGTTTTTCGAGACAGGGTTTCTCTGTGTAGTTTTGGTGCCTGTCCTGGATCTCACTCTGCAGACCGGGCTGGCCTGGAACTCACACAGATCCGCCTACCTCTGCCTCCCGAGTGCTCGGATTAAAGGCGTGCGCCACCACCGCCTTGCTCATTTCTTCGTTTTAATAGTCACGATTTTAAAAACACAAACAAACAAGGAAATGCATTTAGAACTTCTTTCAAAACTTGGAAGGGAAGTTGATAGCCTTTTCTTATTATTCAAAGCTGGAAATTTATAGTTCAAGCCTAATCTCGAAGCGTTTTGCCCTAAACTAGGACCGGTAGTTTCTCCTCAGACGCCGGGATAAGCTTCTTGTGATTGGGCAGCGTGCGTCCGTCATGACGCCGGAAGGCCACCTGATTGGTCCGCCCAGTCCAGTCTCGGCGGCTTTTCTCTCGCCCAAGGCCTTCAGCCACTTCTCTTTCTCTAAGCGAGCCTTCCTGACTGGTGGCTGGAGCTGCTCGTCCGGAGGGAACGGACTGAGCGAGGCGAGGTAACTGCACAGGCGTCAGCGGGGGCAGCGGCCGGCCTGGACCTGGGTAGGGCAGGGCTGCGCCCGGGCGCGAACTGCTTTGCCTCCGGGCCCCTGGATTCCCGCTTTCCCCCGGCTTCTCTTACTTCCCTCGAGACTCGCGCGCCCCCATTAGTAGGGCCCTCCTCACTGCGCCCCTCCCCAGCCCCATCTTCCACACTGCCCCGCCTCCTCCCCGCCCTCCTCGCAGCCCCTCTTCCCTGGCTCCGCCCTCCTCAGCTCCCCGCCCCCATGTGGCTCCGCCTTCTCTGCTCCTTCCTCCCATCTCTGCTTTGCTCAGCCTTGCTTCCCAGCAGTCTTGTCTCCTAGGCTCCGCCCCGCCCGTCTCTGCTCCCCCCTTCTCAGCCCTGCCCTCTTCCTGATCCTCCACCTCAAATTGACTGTCCCCACCTAAGGTTTACCTTCTGCTCTGCTCAGCCGCTCAGCCTCCTCAGCACACTACTCTTGTGATCCGTTGCACATCTCTGATCTCTCAGGGACCGAGTTGTGTCCTGCTGGTGCATCCCTGTCAAAGAGGTTTTTTTTTCTTAGTTTTCTTCCTTTCAGCCTGCACAGTACTCTGTCTTAACTATTGGATTTCTGCTCTGTGGGAGAGAGGCACATTGTAGTAGTGTAAAAGCCATGTGTTAAGTCTCTCCTGAAGCATGGTGTTTGTATCCTTAGAGGAAGGGCTGCTTTTTATTTTTTCATTCTTTCTTTCCCTTTGTGTGTGTGTGTGTGTGTGTGTGTGTGTGTGTGTTACGAGACTGAGTTTCTCTGTGTAGTCCTGACTGTCCTGGAATTCCCACTGTAGACCAGGCTGGCCTTGAACTCACAGAGATCTGCCTGCTTCTGCCTCCTGAGTGCTGGGATTACAGGCCTGTGCCATCATGTCCAAAGTATTCTTTTTTTTCTAGTCATTCCTGCTGGGTCCTCAAACAAACTTTTTTTTTTTTTTTTTTTTTTTTTTTTTTTTTTTTTTTTTTT